TATTATTATTATTATTATTATTATACGTAATTTATATAATTAAAAGAATTACACGTAGTTATTACAACAAGTCCATCAATCAAAAAAAAAAAAAAAACAATTTTTCCCCCGCCCCCCTCCCTGTCTAATTCCACGTTAAACCGTTTTTTCCCATACGCGACACGACACGACGCGAAACACACGCGACAAAAACCGTTCGTTGGTAGGGTGGAGTGGAAAGGGGGTGGAACAAATAAACTTCCGGTTGGTTTTTAAATTTACATCGATACCTTAAAACGAATACCTGAAATTTTTTTCGTCTGCTTCTCCTGAACCCGCCCCTTCCCCCAAAAAAAAAAAAAATTTTTTTTCAGTACCTGATTTCAATTAGTTTCATTAACACTTAACGAGATTTATTTCCTATTATCATTATTATTTTATGTCATTCATCGAAACCTAAGTGATAACCCCCCTCCCATTCACCCACCCCCATTTCCTCCATTACCTAAATGACGTCACTTAAAAGAAAACCTCACGAATTCGAAAAAAGCAATTAATTAATTCACACAATTAAACATCGATCGGTGACGATAATAATAATAATAATAATAATAATAATAATAATAATAATAATAAATTATTGTGACGTAATAGGTATTGTTACACGTCGACGGGGCTTCGTGTTAAAAAAAAAAAAAAAATTATTAAATTACTTTTACGTAACGACAATGATGAACAAGCAAAATCCTACTAAACCACACAAACTAATTACTCGGCCTAAAAAAAAAACCTGAATTTTTCTTATAGCCATTATTATCATTATTATTATTACGACGACATTTTGTACCTGTACGAATGGTAAAATTTAAAAAAAAAAAAAAATCAAATTATTATTATTATTTGTTATTAATTAAAAAGGAAAAGGTTTAGTAAGAAACAAAAAAAATTCCATAGAGAAAATAAAAACGAAACGATAATCATAGAGATATAAAACAAAAAAAGAAAATGGCGGTCGGTTGTTGTTGTTGTTGTTGTTATAAATGAATAATTAATTATAATTAAACAAGTTTTTGACTATAAAGCCAAGTTTTAATTTTTTTTTTTATAGCTTGCTATAAAATTTATAGCGGGTGGTTGATCGATCGGGTGGTTCATATAAAAACATAATAATAATAATAATAATTGATTATATGCAGGATATTAAAAAATTATCATTATCATTATCGTGATGTTTGTCTTCTGCTTATTCGGAATGAATTTTTTTTTTTTTTAGATAAAATTAGTCGTAAAATAGAAAATCTATTTCTAGTAATGTAAATTATCTTTTTTTTTTTTTTTTGGATTTTGCACCCTTTAAAAATAATAATGTGAGTGTAAGGGGGCCTCGCACGAGCACACGCGCACGCCTCTCCCGCCGTCCCCCCCCTCGCCACACACACACGCTCCCCATTTAATTAGAAACCTTTAAAAGAAAAAAAAAAAAAAATGTCTGCTCTGGCATTTTATCGACTTCTTCTTCTTCTTTTAATTATTTATTTTCCATTCGCACGAGTTTTCTAATAATAAATCATATCTCGACCGTTAATTTTATTTATAATAATAATAATAATAATAATAATAATAATAATAATCATTTTTTAATTTTTACCTTCGAGCAAATGATAATAATAATAATAATGATGATGATTCGTAACGTTATGTACGTATCACATTAAATAACCGGTGGAAAAAAATTATTATTATTATCGGTTGAAAAGTTATCGAACCGTTTCCCCTCCCACCTCCCCTCGTATTCCTTACACCCCTCCCCGTCTTGTACGATAGATCCATGTGGGAAAAAGAGAGGGGGCGGGAAATGGGGGGGAGGTAAAGAAAGAAAAATTCGATTTCGAACGTGATAATTCCCTTATGCGGGTTTGTCGAGCAGACGACGCTGACGACGACAACCGTTATTATCTAACGATACGAATAAAATGGAAAAGTCAACAAACACACAAACACACACGTGTTTGTTGTCGTGTCGATAAACGACCTTGAAAAATTTTTCAACGGGCAGGCACGGACCCGAAACAAAACAAAAAGAGAGAGAGAGAGAGAGAGAGATTTGATGCTTCGAACCGTAAAAAAAAAAAAAAAAACCTGACGAATAAAATTGAACCTTATTTTTTTATAGAAAGGAATTAAATAAAACAAAAACAACAACAACAACAAACAATCTTTTCGTTTGTATCGTTTGTTTTACGAATTTCTTTCTAGAATGTTCTTTTCCATAACTAACGAAATAGTCTGAACAATAATTAATTTATTACGGTAATAAAAACAAAAGAAAAAAACGCGCGAGCATAAATTATTCTAAATATAGTTAACGATGGTTATTTAAAAATGTATTATTATAACCACGTCGATCGATTGATTGTCTATTTACACGTTAATTTTATTATCCGTAACCGTATCCGTATAATAATAATCGTCATCGTGCTAGCATGTTCGCGTTTAATATTTCGATCTGGGGACGGGGTAGGGTTGTAAGTGGGGGGGGGAGAGGAAACAATCAAACTTTGACAAACAAGCTAACAAACAAACAAACGAACAAACGGAAAACAACCGAGAAATTTTATTTTATCATTTTCCAGTAAATGATTCCAGCAAAACATAACAAAAAAAAATTTTCTATTTTCTCTATGAAACCTTAAAAAACTACATCATCATCATCATCATCATCATCATCATCATCATCATCATCATTATTATTATTATTATTATCATCATCTATTGTTTTTTACGATTCGATTTTGTCCAGTTAATCTCGTTATAATTTTTTTCGGTTTTTTTTTTCTTTTTTTCGTTACTTCGTGAACGTCGTCCATTTTCTTTATTCTTTCTTCTTATCTCACAATCGGGGGGTGGGGGGTGGGGAGAAATATCGTGGGTTTAACTTTTTAAAGTCACGACTTTGTTTTTTGTTGTTATTGTTGTTGTTTCTATTGACACTTCAAAACATTCGAATAATAATAATAATTTCTTTTTTTTTATTTGTTTGATTCGTTTGTTTTGTTTCTTTTGTTTGTTTGTTTTGTTTTTTGTTTTTCGGGTTAAATTAATTAAAAAAAAAAAAACCGAAACAAAAACGAAACGGAAATTGGGGGGGGGGGCATGAAGTTTTCCTTGATTATTATTATTATTATTATTTGTTTTTTTATTTATTAATCAATAAATTTTTATTGTTTTTTACTATATATATATATATATATGGTATTGAATAAAATGATAAATCAATAAAAATCGATATCTCTTATGTGGGTCACATAAGTGAACACAAACAAATAATAATAATAATAAACTATTGTAGTCGTTGTTGTTGTGTTTGTTGTTTGTTTCGAACGTGAATAATAAAAATCGATTGTCGCAAAATGAAATAATAATAATAACTTGTCGTTTTTTTAAAAAAAAAAAAAAATACCTTCGGGTGACTTTTAACCTAAGAAATTGTTGGGAGGTTTCGGTGGGGAGGGAAGAAAGGGGAAGGAGGAAGAGGTGCACGTGCAATAAATGCAAAACACACGTGTATGTATTTTTTAGAGAAAAAAATTCAAAATTTTAAATTTTTTTATTGCGGTATATCGGACAACAAAACAACAACAACAACAAAAAAGATGATTTCCATATTTGGAAACTTAAATTTTTTTTTTTCCCCATTAGAATTCTAAATTGATTTTTTTTATCATAATCTAAATAAGTTTTAAAAAGTTCTTCTTACGTATTTCTTTTTTTTTTTTTCTCTCGGTTTCGTTCGTGTAAAAAGAAAAAAAGAAAAAAAAAATCATAGTTCGTTGGGTGGCATTTATTTCATTCATCCTATAATTTTTCCCCCTCTCTCTCCCTTCCTCTTTCTCTCTCTCTCTCTCTCTCTCTCTCTCTTTTATTGTTCGACTTATGTTTAAAAAAAAAAAATGCTGTCGTTTGTACAAAAAAAAAAGCAAAAGAAAAGAAAAGAAAAAAATTAAACGTAACGAATTTTTTTTTTTTTCCTTTCTAACGCCACGATTATTTGGATTTGACCGCGCGCGGTCACGTGATTCTCATTTTAAAATACGACGACCGACAATTAAAAATAAAAAAAAATTTTTTTCGAGAATGTGTTAAACACGTTTTTTATAATAATTTTTCAAAATGTCCGAGTAATAAATCGTAAACGGTTCGAGGCGTTCCTTCACAGACCGAGTACCTTAATCACCGATTCATTAATAAAAATGCGTGTGCGTGTCCGTTTGCGTAGGAAAACGTTTGCCCTTTCCCATGATTTTATTTTCCCCCTTGATCGTGTTTTCCAGGTTTTTGTTAGCCCCTCCCCTCCCCTCCCCTCCCTTCTCCCGAATAGTTCTTACGCGAACTGTGAAATTAAAAACGTCCGCCATTTTCATTATTATTATTATTATTATTATTATTAACTTTTTACCACCGTTCGGGTATAATTTATTACGTTTAAAAAGAATTTTCTAGAAAATTCCTATGTAAAATTTTTCTTAGCGACGCGCACGCGCACACACGCACGCACGTACACGAACGTTATCTGTATGTTGTAATCGATGTGTAAAAAAAAGTATGTAACAGACGTGGGAGTAGAATAAATCCGTGTATTATTATTATTATTATTATTAAAATTACGAAATTCTTTTATATGTAATTTTTAATGAATCGAAAAAAGAAAGAAAAAAAAATAAAAAGTTAAACTCGTAGAATAATAATAATAATAATAATAATAATAATAATAATAATAATAATAATAATAATTAAAATTTTTTTTTATGATTTATATATTATTTTTACTGCCACGTCTAAATTGTTTTTTTTTTTTTTTTTATTTTTATTTTCTCATTTAAATTTTATTTTCATCTATCGTACGTAAAGATTTCTTTACGAGGAGTTTACATATAAATAATAATAATAATAATAATAATAATAATAATTTTGATTTGATTTGAAAAAGGTTTTTTTTCTACATTCACGTTTTTTTTTTTTTGATGATATTCGTGAGAATATTTTCAGTTTCAGACATTCAGTCAGTCAGTCAGTCAGTCAATCATTCAAACGACGGGTAAAAAAAAAAAAAATAAAATTCGAATCGTAAATAATAAAAAAAAAAAAAAAAAAGTACAAATCATTAGAAATGGTTATGTTGATGTACTAGAGGTCGTGGTACTAGCGTACCTGAACGTTTAAATTTTTTTACGATCGTGACGTGATGACTATACTTAATTTTTTTTTTTTTTTTCTTTCACGTTTGGTTTTTTTTTTTTTTTTTTTTTTTTTGAATGTATTAATGGCTAACCATGTTTTTTTTTTTTTTCTGTTTCCACAGCCGAAAGTGACATATCCGCTTTTAGCCTTCGTACCGTCCATTTTAAATCTTGTCATCCATTGACAACGAATTTATTTACTTCCACGACAAGGCCGAATTATTTACAAAAATTATACGAATCGTCAGGTCCGACGCCGATATCAACGATACGACAATTGGATAGATTTCGAAGAGATGGTACGAGAAGTTCGAAATTTTTCGTATGCACTCCCGTTTTGGCGGGAAAAAGGAAAAAATATAAAAAAATCGATTTGGAAATCGAAACTCGAAAGGTAAGAATCGATCACTTTCGATATATTTTTTGATAGTATCATTTTTACTTTAAAATAATCGCTTTGATTTCGAAAAAAAAAATTTATTTACTCTATGACCGACGCGTCCACCCCTTCTCCCTTCCCCTCCCCCCGTCAGGGCAGTCACGAAAGAATCAATACAAAGTTTTTTTTTTAAATAGCTAAGGTTTCGGACAGGTGAATGAATGCATCCCCTATTTTATTATAAATGCAACCAACCCTTAAAAAAAATTCGTTGCCTTTCCCACACTTCCCGTACTCAACCTTTCATTTCATTTCATTTCTCTTCAAAAACTTGTTTGTAGTCTTGTTTGTGTTTGTCGTTGTCGTCATGAAAAGAAGAATAAGAACAAGAAAAAACCGTCGCACACCTTTTCGACTTTCAAACATTCCCCCCTCCTCCTCCTCCTCTCCCTTACCCTTTATTCTACTTCCACGTAATTATTTTTACTCTATGGCGATCTCTCTCTCTCTCTCTCTCGCTTACTTACCCCCTTCCTCCCTCCCGTTTAAATTCGTCGGTTTTTTTTTTTTAAACCGAAAAAAAAACGGTTATAATATACGAATTATAAAAATCAGTACCGTAGCTAAAAATTCACGAGAATTAGTTTAAAAAAAAAAGGAGCGTAGGAAGGAAAAAATTTAAAATTCTTGAGCGCCACAAAAAATGCCAGTCAAACATTTAACCTTTGCTTTGTTTTTTTTTTCTCTTTTTTTTGGAATATATTTATATATATATATATATATATGAGAGAGAGAGAGAGAGTTCAAGGTTGAAATGAGGAACGTTTAAGGTCATTAACCTGAAACCTGATAGGACCGATAAATAAAACGCCGCGTATAATAATACTAATAATAATAGTTGAATTTATAAAACAAAAGAAAGAAACAAAAGTATCCCTTATTTTAAAATAATAATAATAATAATAATAATATTAAATATTAATTTTATTTTTAGAGGGATCCCGATAACAACTACTTCCGGTTATGGTTTTTTTCCGTTTTTACGGGGGAGACGGAAATAAAAAAAGAAAGAAAGAAAGAGAAAAAAATTTTTTTTTTTTTTGTCAACGTTCAAAGTTATTATAAAAAAACGGAAAAGAGGGAGGGGAGGGGGTCTTTCAAAAGGGAGGGGATCTCTAGGGGGATTTCGGGGGATTCACAATATCACAAAATCTCATGCTTAACCACGTTTGTTTTTTTTCCTAACCTGAAATTCTTCCACCCATGCAATCTACATAAATTTTTCATGTCAATACGTTTTCATTCATTCGAATCGTTTTCAAATGTTTCTTATTATTATTATTATTATTATTATTATTATTATTATTATTATTATTATTATTATTATTATTATTATTATTATTATTTGTTTAAATACGAGAATGTTCGCCCTTTTCCCCCCTTCCCCCTCCTCCTCCTTCCCCCTTCCTTTTTTTTTAGCAGAAGACAAATTTATATTGTGGAATGTCGTCGTTATTATTAGTATTATAGCCCATTGAAAAAAAAAGAAACCTATTTGGGTATTCTTTTCTTTCTCTCTCTCTCTCTCTCTCTCTCTCTCTCTTTCTTTCTTTTTGACTCCCCGCGATTTTGTGCATCACCTACGTACCTGACTAAAACGTACCTTTTTTTTTTTTAAAAATTTACTTATTTTCGTATCCATTGAAAATACTTTAAACCCGGTGAATTTTTTTTATTAATAAACGTGGTAGCATGTAATATCGTGGAATTAAAATTGATTAAGCCGTGTCACGTATAAGGCAATTATTATTATCATCATCATCATCATCATCATCATCAAAGAAAAAAAAAAGTCCGACGAGAATGATGCGGCATAAAACCCAAATAAATTTAATAAACGTGTTGATGCGCAAATTTTCCTTCTCTCTCTCTCTCACTCTTCTTGCGCTCTTTGTACGTGTGAATGAATGAGACAGAAACATACCCTGAAATTCGCATATGCTTACGTATGGGTAAAAGTACAAAAAAAAATAATAATAATTACGTCATTTCCGTTTTATTTCAAATTTAAATTTGGCGGTTTTTTTTTGTTATAAATAACATTAAAATAAAAGGATTCCATTTGAAATGTTTTTTTTTTTTTTAAAAAAAAAAAAAAAAAAGTACCTGATTACACACCACACCTGAGGAGGTACCGAACCTGTCCTTGAGAACTAAGAGCGAGCGGATCTTTCACGATTAAATATTTTTTTTTTATGTTGGTAACAAGAGAGAGAGAGAGAGAGAGAGAGAAAGGAATGTTTAGCTTTCGAATTAAGGTGCAGTTAAAAAAAAAAAAAAATTACTGATGCGCCCTGGACACAAACACACACACACACACACACACACAATTCTAGTATGTACAACAAGAGTATGTGCGTGAGTGTGCGTGAGTGCGTGAGTGAATGGATGTGCAACGTTGCCAAGACGTTGAAATTTCGTCTTCTTTTAAAACTACCTTTTAAAAACATTTCGTGTAAACATTATATGGAGAAAAAAAAAAAAACGTTGTCGTCGTACCTTAAAACGAAAAAAAAAGAAAAGGGACATTACGTAATGTGTGAAATGTTAACGCGAGGTTCGGTTTTCGATTTAAAATAATAATAATAATAATAATAATAATAATAATAATAATAATAATAATAATAATAATGAAACGAAATTTTTAAAATGTCAGGTTTTTTTTAATAAAACAAAAAACTTTTTTGTTGTTTAAACTCATTCTTAGAAAAAAAAAATGTCGTCACACCCAAATTTTAATGATTAATATATATATATATATACTAGAAATTAAAAAACAAAATGTCTTTTGGGTTTTTTTTTTTTTCGGTTGTTTGTTGGGTTGTTTGTTTTAAAAAGAAACAAACGAAACGAAACAAACAAACAAACCTGATTACGGATTGGGTTTCGTTTTTATACGTACGTCAATTTTCATTTTATTGATTTTTTTTTTTTTTTTTTAATATAAAATAAATTATTAAATCGTTGACAGAATTTTTAGTGAATTAAAGTTAGGATTTACATATTCTAATTCCACGACAAGTTTTTTTTTTTTTTTCCCCGTAACTACCCACACGAATTTTTATAAATATATATTTAATTTAATTCAAGTTTTTTTTTCCATCATCATTATTATTATTATTATTATTATTATTATTATTATTATTATTATTGGGGCGTACACGTGACGACGATACGTCAAAAAAAAAAAAAAAAAAATTTAAACCCGAACAAACAACTAATGAAACAAACAAACGTTTGTTCGTTCGATCTTTTGTTTTAAAAAAAAATCCGTTAAATTTATATGATTTACATTATTATTATTATTATTATTATTATTATTATTATTTTAGTGACGTATTCGAATGGCCGTAAATTAAATATTATTTGAATGAAAGCGATTATATATATATACAAATTTATATATGTACTTATGTATTTTGTTGTAGCCTCTGGCAGTCGAAGATCTTAGAAGATGGACGTCGACGGAAGCATTGGGTGATATAACGGTTCTCCCGGATAACACATCGAAAATAACGACAATAGAAACTAAAGAAGGCGACGTACGAGATGAAATCGATCATTTATTACCATCACCGGAAGAACAAATGATGGCCGTCGCCATGAAGTAAGTAAAAACAAAAAACATCCCTCATTATTCCTCCTCCTCCTCCTCATTGCGAATAATAATGATGATTGTGTTTTTTCAGGTTTCCTCCATCGATAGTTGCCGTCGACGTATCGGGTAAACCCTTCGATAGAATGTCAGGTTTAAGAAGATCCGTTATGGGAGTTGAAACGTGCGAAAGTGGAACGAAGAGAAAAACAAGGAGACGACACAGGGGTAAAAGGAGAAACACGATCGCTGGAACAAGTCAAAAAGAAATCGAGCAAGCAATTGCTGGGTAAGACAAACAAACAAACAAACGAAACAAGCAAACCTTCAATGGTTGTTTAATTACAATTTAAAGAACAAAAAATTGTTTGTCATAAAAAACTTTGTTTTCGGACTATTAATTATCATTATCATTATAATAATAATAATAATAATAATAAAACGTCACGAATAAAAAATTAATTATCATTATCATAATTGAATTTTTTTTTTTTTTTTTTAGTGAAACTGCAACGGAAACGGAAGGCTGCGAATTCGAACCCCTTCCGCCCCTTCGTTCAAAATCAACGGATTTGTTTAAGTTGGCAAAAGTGAATCTTTCCCCGAGCGACAACATAAGAAATCATTTCAACACACTTAAAAATTGGTCTAAAACAAAGCTTAAATTCATAAATAGCAAAAGTACTTCCGTCGAATCGTGCAAACCGAGTTTTCAAAGTACCGACGTCGTCGATGACATCGGTCTATACGACACTGTTGGAAACAATCCGAGCATAAAAGCATGTCATAGAGATAAAGAAAGGAAACCGAGTTCGAGTTCCAGCGCGATCAGCATTCCAGTATCGACATCATCCATAGCTACGAGTTTGGTGGTAAGGATTTCAATTTATGAAATTTTTGGAAAATTTGCCGCGAATCGGAAATGAAAATAATAGTTTTTTTTCCTCCCCCCCTTTCCCCTCCCTCCCCACGCTCAGGTCAAACTGAGAGAAAATTCTCTTCAGAGACGACACTGGAGAAAAGGATCGAATAAGGGACAAGACGAACCCGCTCATTCATCTTCGGGTAATTGGTCGGCAAGTTCGGAAAGTGGTAGAACTTCGATTGCATCGGAAACGACAGCACCACCCAAATCATCCACGACGACATCGAACAATTCGTTAAATCATCACAATAATCATCATCCACCATCCGTACAAAGCAGACGACGATATTTGAACAATTCAACGAGTAGTTCGGTATCGGAAGGAACGCTAACACCCGACATTAACGAATTGCAATACCACGATTTATTGGATGGTGAAACGAGTTCGATTTATTCTTGTGATACCGAAGGTTCGATTATAATAAATCTCGAATCGTTTTTCGATCTATCGAACGAACGAATAATTAAAAAAAACTATTTCCGTTTCAGGTTATTACACGTCTTTCCACATGGATTCCGGTTTGAAAACGTTAAAAGAAGAAGAAATCGCATTATCATTTTCCACGTTGCAATTACAGGATGATCCGGGACCTCTGACGACAACTTTTAACAACACATCAAGTTCCGGTGGGAGCACAGTCAAAGGAAATCAATTAACGGCAGAAAACGAATACGAATTGTTTGGAAAAGGTAAATGAAAATAGCAACAAGTCGTTTATTTATTATTTTTTTTTTTACACGTTATTGTTTTCAAAAATTGACGCCATGATGGTAAAAAAGAAAAATACGAAGAAACGAAATAATTTTTAGGGAGCACTTCGACGACGACGTCTTCTGCTGGCACCGTGTGCACCACTCTATTAGCCGGAAACGTTTACGGAAGCACGAGAAGTTTATCGCAATTTGCACCCGCCGTACCGGAAAGAAAAAGTAGTTTGGAAAGAAAATCCGATAATAAGAAACAAATCGAACAAATAATCGAAGAAAATGGTATGACGAGTGAAAATAACGGCTACGATTCGGAAAAAACGACGGTTGTAGCTTTGATACACGGTTCTCCGAGTCCCGACAGCGGTCACAACACTTCGAGTTCTCCAGCGGAAAGCGCGAGTCAAAACAGTTCGAGCCCTCACGAACAATTAGAATTTTCCGAATCCGATTTGGACAGTTGCGACAGAGCGGAAAGGATAAGAACGAAAACGGAAATGACGACGTATAGAATTCCGAGCATGTGTTTGATCACGCCCCCGCAATCAGACGACGAAATTAACCTTCGCAATGCCAATCCAGTAGTGCCTTACAATACGAATTACGTGCCTTATAATAAAAATCTCGCGACGAAGAACGTATTGAACGGAGGAAACGGAAGTTGTTCGGAAGTTGTTGGAAAACCGTTATTACGTATTCAAATACCCACGGTACCGGATATTAAAAAAGAAGTCACCGATGTTTTCAATCGTTCCGATTCTAACAAATTGAGCAGGAACACTGTGAAAACGACATCGAAAAATGGAATGTTGGAAACGAACATCGATTCGTTAGCAGACGACGCGAAAGATTCGTTGCATTTTGTCGTCGACGGTGAAACCGGTTACGCCACGATTAAAACGGAAGTTAAGAAAACCTACAGGTCGCCCTCGCCGAGCGGCGGAGTGTTGATAGTGAACGAAAAAGAAGAAGAATCAAAACCGATACAACCGATTATAAAACCATCACTCCTACCCAACAATTTCATGGATAGGTTTAAGGAATCCACGAGCAAACAAAAAAAACTGGACGTTAATAATGGAGATTTGGATTATGCGAAACCGGCGGAAAAATCACCCAAATCCAGGCTGCAATATTCGAACGATAATAAATCGGAATACGTTTCTCTAAACGAGTTACCCGTGACAGAAGATTTAACGGATAATTGTCCGTTGACAGCATCAGACGACGGTTCGATGGAGAGAAAGAAGAGACAGGGTGCAAGAGTCACGTTGGATTCTGACGGGAGAGTCGTTTATTCTTCGGACAGTTTAAAAAGGAAAAAGCAACAAACGACGTTCGTACCGGGAAAATACGTTAGAGAATCACCCACCCCGTCACCCATTGCGGATAAAAGATTACCCAAAACCATACGACCGGTTAACTGTTCCGGATTGATACGTAACAATTCGGATGATAGAAAATCCGACGTGACGAACGTGTCGTCGTCTCATCAAACGGGTAAACTCATAATAAAAGCCGGATTAAGAAATTCCGACTCGCCGACAAAAGATTTCGTGAGGTTACCACCTACGAGAGTTGTCACGCCCACGAACACAATGAAGAGACTCGACAAAGGTATAAGAATAAAAATGGAAAATGGGGATTGTTTGAAAAGCGAAACGGAGAGTACGGAATCATCTGAAACGAATTCATTGGAAAGGGCAAAACATAACAACAGAAGGAGGAGCTCAAGTCCATCATCGTCATCCTCATCATCTGATACCCATAAAAAACAAGTCGATATAAGAGCAGCAGCAGCAGCAGCAGCAGCAGTAGAAGAAGAAGGTAAGATACTTAACGAAAACGATTTGGACGCGTTAGGAGAAAATTCCGGGTGTGACTTCATTAATCCTATGAAATTAAACGTGGGGGTACTTGTACCTGAAAATTCTCTTACGTCATCGGATGTACATCAACAGGATGTACCACACATTTTCCAAATAGAACCCCAAGTTAAACCTTGTAAAAAACAAATCAAAAGAAGCGATAGTTACCGGATAGCTAACAACACCCACCTAACCCTACCCATAGACCCCATAAAATTTAAATTAACGACCGTTAACGAAACGATTGAAAACGTTGACAAATGTAAAATAACAGCGAATGATCCCAATTACAATTTGTTAATGACCGACAACAACAACGACAAACACAATCGCACAATTACCTCAAACAAACAACAAAATTTCAAAACAAATTCCTACTACTCTAGAAATCCTTATAAGGTAACAAAACCGACAGATATCGAATTGGCAAAAGTATTAAAAAAAACAATAACAAACGATACGGAAATATGGTAGTAGGACGCCATTAACCCCTACACATCCTGTAGGAACATGTTTGCGTTTGTTCCTGTATATATGCGTTTGTAGCAGTAAGTAACGGTTGTACGAAAAGCAATAGCAATGCAAGTGCACCTAAAAAAAAAAACAAAACAAACAACAACAAACACCACGATGCATAATTATTAATTATTAATTAATTATTACTTACTCGCACTAATGCTTTTTTGTTGTTTGTTTTGTTTTGTTTTGTTTGTTTGTTTGTTTGTTCACATTTTCACAAGCTTTTGTTTTTTTTTGGGGGGGGAGGAGGGGGGGGAGCGTGAGAATGAATTTTCACCTGTAAATAAATAAAAACAATACCACGATACGAAACAATGTAAACTTACCAATCGAAAAAAAAAAAAAAAATGCCATTATCCGTCCGCCATTTTGTTTTTTTTTAATTAGTGCAATAGCATCGATTAGTCTGTTGTAAATGTAGTCGAATTTTTTTTTTTTATTTTTAAATGTAAATTAATAATAATGATAATGATAATAATGATTTAAAAAAAAGAAAAATTTTTACTTACTCAAGACAAAAGAAGATTATGAAAACAAAAAGATTCAAATTTAAATTTGTCTTTGTGATGAATATATATATTAAATTTCAGGTATCGTTTATTCGTACACGGCGTCCATTTTACAAGTAATGTAATCTTATTGTTAAAAAAAACGTTACGAATCAGCAACAATGATTCGTTTTCCCCTCCCCTCCCCTCCCATCTCACCTCACCCCTTTCTCTCACTCTCACTCACTCTCTCTCTCTCTCTCTATCACATTTAAAATTTTCGTAAACGTTTTTCTTTCTCTCTCTCGCGCGCACGAATACACTAGCTCACTCTATCGTTCAAAATTTGAAATTAATTTGAAGTCAAAACTGTGTAAAACGTCACGACGTTCGCGCGTAACGTTCATCAATTCGTTTTTTTTTTATTTTAAATTTTTTTAATTATTATTATTATTATTATTAATTAGACGATAAGTGAGAGAGAGAGGAAAAAGTAAGTTTTTTAATTTATGTTTTTTAAAGAGAGAAAGAGAGAGAGAGACAGGGGGAGGGAGAAGGGAATGGGGGGATTATTAAATAATTTATTATATTGTAATTTATGTACAAAAAATGAAAAAAAAATTGTGTGTGTAAATAGGGCATAAGGTGGTGAGAGGTGGTTTTATTTCTTTTTTATTTTCAGGTGTGGTATGTCACCTCTACCTACCTCCTCCCCTCCCTCTTTCACCTTTGCTTTCCCCCTCGCCCACTCTCCGTCTCTCCCCCCTTTCACTCTTTCAATCAATATAATCGATAGATCGATACTCGCGATCGAAATTCCTCCATTTTTAATTATATTTTTATCTTTCTCTCTCTCTCTCTCTCTCTCTCTCTCTCTCTCTCTCCTTCTTATTTGTAATGATAATGATGATTGTTTTCTCTCTCTCTCTCTCTCCCACCTTTTGTCCTAAAAATTGGGAAATAATTTATTTTTGCTTGGTGCTAATTTTTTTTTAAATTAATTTACAATAAGAAAAGAAAACTTAAAAAAAAGGGCACTAATGTACATAATAATAATAATAATAATAATAGTAATAATAATAATCATAATCATAATCATAATGATGACGATGATAGTAATGATGATAATGATGATGATGATAAATAACTAACAGTTTAATATTAACGTGTCATACGATCACGATGATGATGATGATGATTGTTAAGGTTTTTTTTTTTTTTGGATGTTTGTTTCAGGTTTTCCCGCACCTTTCGCATTTTTTTTTGTTTGTTTGTTTGTTTGTTTGTTTGTCTCGAGCACCAAACTAAAAAAAAATTTCCCAAAATTTTAATGTAAAAAAATTTTTTTTTTTTGTTATTTTGTTGCTTTTTTTTTTTTTAAATATAGAAAAAATTAATTTTTTTTCTTTTTTTTTTTTTTTAGTTTAAACTAATTGTTTTTGTTATTATTATTATTATTATTTGTTGTTGTTGTTGTTGTTGTTGTTGTCGTTTGCACAAATTTTTTTTTTTTTGAAGCGTGTGTTGTCTGCACATGAATGCGCTGCATCCACATCTGACACCACAGGATTATTTTTTTTTTTTTAGAAAAATAGAAAGAGAGAGAAAATTCGTTTTATTTATTTATATTTTATTTTCGAAGAGAGAAAGAAAGAGAGAGAGAGAGAAAAAAGTGAGTTTTTCATTCATTCATTCATTCATTAATTCATTCTTATATTATTATTATTATTATTATTATTAGTTTTGCATGGCATGAGAGCGGAGGTGTTGGACGCATTAGTATTATTATCATTATTATTATTATTTTTAAAAAGCGTGTAAATTGAATGCATGCATATATATATATATATGGTGCGAATACGGGGGTTTATTTGTTTGTTTGTTTGTTTGTTGCATGAATTTCTTTTTACTTTGATTTGTTTGTTTGTTTATTGTCGTACAAAAGAAAAATTTCGATTTTAATTTTACACGGATTTTTTTCTTGCTGGAAATGAGCTCGTGATCGTTTAAACAACTTTAAAAAGAATTTTAAACAAACAAACAAACGATTTTTAAAACTCGTTAAATTTTTCGTTTGTTCGTTGTTTGCACGATTCAACGAGTTTAAAACAATAACGCGTGATGTGATGATGATGATAACCTTAAATCCGGCAGATTAGATGTCATAGAGTAAAAAAAAATTCGATATATCGAATCGAAAACGGGGGAAAAAAAGTTTTAGATTTACTTACAAAAATATAAAACTTTCATAGGATTTTATTATTTTTTTTTTTTTGTTTACGTCATCAGGAGCTCATTTTTAAACGTAATAGAAAACCGTTAAAATAATAATAATGATAGTAACGTTTAAAAAAAAATTTTTTATAAATTTTTCAGGTATTTTATCGAATTCATCAACGAAATGGATATCACAACATCCGGCAGTGTTTAAAAAACAACAAATAATAAGAAAAAATTTAACGAACAACAGCAACAGCAGCAGTAGCGGAAGCAACAATCAGGCTTACTATTGGTCATCGATTGGGAAAAACTTCAAATCGCAAGAAAAATATATTAATAATAATAATAATAATGAATTATTATCTAGTCATGGAAATCGTCGTTGTTGGGACGAACTTGGAGGAGAAAGTTCGTTAGACGGAACGACGGATAGAAAAGAATTTTCATCGTCAACGCCAACGAAAGAAGTTGGGTACAGAACAACAAACGACAACAATCGAAGAATGATGAGTCTGGGCGAGGAGGAAATGTCACCGATATTAAAAGAAAACATATTCGGTAAAAAATCTAAAATGACGTCAGAGGAAATATTTGCGGCAATACACAAATCAAAGAAAAAATTAAACATGAAGGATGTGGAAAACAGGTGCGAAAGTCCGACATGTTGGACGAATCCGGATATCGGTGGGAATAAAATTCTGGTGACGAAATCGAGAGAAAGATCAAGTTGGTCACCGAACACGTCAGAAGATTTGGATTATAAAATAAACGAAGCAAGAAATAGAAAAAGTTGGATAGGAACGAATGGCGGAGGTGGTACCAACAGCACCAACAGCAACAGCACTCCTATAAATTCGTTTAAAAAACTCCTTTTACAACAGGGAAGTAAAAATTCACCATCGAAAGATTTAAGAATATCAGCCGTGGAACAATTAAAACTATCAAAAAACGGAAACGGAAACGTCGAATCGTCATCGACGTCATCGTCATTGACGTCATCATCAAATCGTCGAGATGTTAATAAATCGCCATCGAGAACCGTTGGAGGTAACAGGAATAAATATTTATGGAAATTTTCATCTCCCAGATCGGATGTTCTCTCTTCTACAATACCCGAAGATTGTAGCGAAGTTGAGAAATCTGATGATGCGGATCATGACGTCATCGGTATTAATAATAATAATAATGATAAAGACGAAACGCCGCGGTGGGTTCGATCTAAAGGTTTAGATTTTGTCAAGACAAATATCCGCGATGGTAAATTTGATGATGAAATGATGACGTCACGACAAACGGGTGAAAGTAAATCCCTTGAAATAACTAAAAAATATTTACAACAAGCGAGAAGAAATTTTTTCAACGGTCAAACCGCATCCCAATCTTTTCTTACGAAAAATTCTGTCGGTCTCCCACGTCTTCCCGTACCTGAAGGATCCTCCGATGACGAAATCAATTCTAAAGGTAAAAATTTCTTTTTTAATTCTATCAAATCAAATCATAACAACAACAATCACAACAACAACAACGTCAAAATAATAAATTCTTCATTGGTTAACAGTGAAAAGAAAAAAAATCAAATTATATCCCTTGAAACGGCTCTTTGAAAACTATGACGTAACAAATGACGTCATTGATAATTATTTATGAAAAAATCATCCCGGTTAATGTGAAAACGTTTTCTCGTACATTCTGGAAATGTATAAAAGGTATGTTAATAACAATCAATAGATTAGTTTTATATAAAAAATAATAATGATGATGAATTCCATATATATATATATAAAGAAAGCTTTAAAATGATATCCCAGTTAATTATTCAAGAAAATTATTATTATTATTATTATTATTATTATTATTATTTGTACATAAACACTATTTTTTTTTTTTTTTTCTATTTATTAAAATGTTTCTTAATATATTGATCGGAAAAAAAAAAACATGTCTCGTTTTCCTTTTTTTTTTTTTTTTTTTGTCTCTTTCTATCTCTCTCTGTCTTTCTCTCTCGTATTTCGGAGAACTGACGAGAAAAACCGGAGCAAAATGTCTTCCAATGTAATTTTAATAAGTAGACAATTATCATTATTCTTTTGCTCTCGGTGGTTGTCCAGGTTGAGGCATGTTTGTCATAATGGGTCGCATGGGACTCATCATTGGTCCACCGATAGGTCCCATCATTGGTCCCATGTGACCCATTGGACCCATCATGGGACCCATAGGGCCCATTATTGGCCCTGCCATGGGCCCACGAATAGGTCCGTTAGGTCCCATCATCATCGGTCCCATAGGTCCCATTGGTCCAGGTCCTAACATATTCGGACCCGGACCCATCGGACCAGGCGGTACCGGTCTGGGCGGTCCCTAAAACAAAATCACAGATTTCACAATCCTCTTTTTTTTTAATTAAGAAAACAAATATGCGAAATACACTTACTTGCATGTTTGCCGGAGGTGGAATGGCTGCACCTGGTTTAGGAGCAAACGGATTTGCTATTTTACCCGCTTTAAAAGCAGCCGTTGTTGCGTCTATTAAATGTTGCGCTTGTTCTTCCATCCATTTTTGATAATAAAATTTAACATTATCTTTATGTTTTCTACCCTGACAATGTGTTTTTCTAACCGACGGAGAATCGTGCGTTAAATACGTATCGCAATAATCGCAATAATATTTCGGCATGATTAAATTTTATTATATTTTTCCAATAACTACGACATTTAACCTAACTTTATTCACACCACTCCTCTCGAAACAACAAACAAACACTACTGCCAACTTAAATTATTTTTTCTACCAACATATATATTCATGTTTTCTTACTCTATGGATTTTCATTTAACTACTGATAATCGCTGTGTGTGTGTGTGTTTGTTTAATTGACCCAACTTTTTTAAAAATATCTTTTTTCAAACAATCTTTTTCACTCAAAATGGCGGTTTATAATAATTTTAAAACAAATTAATTTACATATATATATCAATTTAAATATAATTTAGTATCACTCGTTAATTAATAAAATAATTTTCACATTAATATTTAACTTATGAGAAAAAAAAAAAATTAACATAATCCACAAACAGTCAATCATTAATATAAAACAAACGATAATAATAATAATAATAATTTATTTATTTCGAGTTATGTTTGATTTAGGCAATATATAACATGCATAAACTCATTATCGACAAACAGACAAACAAACAATAATTAATTAATATTATGCATGTTATTTAAAAATTTGACAAGTTGTAACATAATTAAAAAATCAATCATCATCATCATCATCATCATTATTTTTAAAAATATATATATATATATTTAATTAATTAATTAATTATAAACATTTTTAATAACGATTACAAAATGACTAACTGATAAAAAAAAAAACAGCAGACGAATGAACAAACTTTTTTTTTTTTGTCGATTTGATTTTCGTTATAATAAAATTAATAAAATAATAATAATAATAATAATAGATCTATTTAACGATAAAATAAAATTTGAAAATACTATAATAATAATAATAATATATTACTTATACTATATATTTGTCGAGATGAAATGAAAGTTGGTATAAGGTTTCCATATGAATTATTTTTTACCAAATATTTTTGAATAATCTTTTTGTGAAAGCGAATAAACGAGTGCAACAGCTAATGTACTTAATAGAGTTCCTTGAGCTATCAAACGCATGTTAATCAAATACAATGATGTTCTTGTATCACCTCTGTTTTTATAATTGTATAAAAAATATGAAACTACTCCGGTCAAACCGCAAAAACCTAATTTGGACAAAAAAACCTGAATTAGTACAGAAAAATGATTTAATTAATAATAATAATAATAATAATAATAATTGAATGCAACCTATAGGTACAGCTGGTTCTTGGGAAACTTTTTCCCAAAATGTTCTTTCATGATATTGTGATACATCATAACCGACATCTTCATTATTAGTATGCTGTGGACTCATGACTATATAATTTCAAATCAGAAATATTTTAAATAATAATAATAATAATAATAATAATAATAATAATAATAATAAAATCGATTATTTAATTAATTTACTTACTTGTTTAATTAACGAACGAATGAACGAGTGAGAGTGAGAGAGAGAGAGAGAGAGAAAATAAAATAATTTATAAAATTTTAAATATAAATCCTACGAACGAATAAACTTTCAATTTGAGAACTCAACAACATATATGTATTATTTATATCTCGTTATTAAGGGGATAAGAAAGAAAAAAAAAACTGACTACGTGACAGTGTTGCCAACTTTTAAATTTACGTTACTTTACTCACATACGACGACAAATCCTCGACAACACAAACTAATTATTATTATTATTAATAATCGTCGTTATTTAATATTTTTAAAAGTAATTACTTAATAATAATAATAATTATAATAGTAATAATAATAATAATAATAATTATATAGGAATAATAATAAACGTTTAAAAAGAATTTTTTACAAAATATTTAAATTTGATGACGTATTTATCGTCGTCAACTATGCGTTCGTTATAATTACATAAGTTAAACATAGTAAACTAAAAATAAACGTTTTTTTCCCTTGTAATAATAATAATAATAATGGAAAGTTAAATAATATTTTTGTTGTTGTTGTTTGTTTTAGAAAGAAATCATCATCATTATCATCATCATTATCAGCTAAAAATAACATTTATTTATTTATATCATAAAGATTGGATAATCGTATCATCATCGACTGGAGTTTGATAATAATAATAATAATAATGATAATGATAACAAATCGTCGTGCTGGAGTTTAAGGATAAGGTAAATTACATATATATATATATATAAATTTATTTTTATTATTATTATTATTATTTCGTAATTAACAAAAACAAAATGGCGTCTGATTTAATTATTAATTGATTACCAATTAGTTATGATAAAAAAATAATGTCGGTCGGTAGTACAACAACCTCATTAATTTTTAATAATAATAATAATAATAATAATAATAATTAATATTTATACGTGAGTAACCGCGTGGACGTGCGTGATATTAATCACTAAACCACCCTCTCTCTCTCTCTCTCTCTCTCCCCACCCCGTACCTCCTACCCCCTACCCACACCTTCTCAAAAGACTGACGTCATGAATTTACGAAGGGGGTTTGTTAAAAAATTGGGGGGGGGGGATGATAACATGAACGATTATCAATATAGTAAAATAACGATATGATAATTTTTTTTTTTTTAATTATAATCCAAACGTCGTCTGCTGTGATTCGTTATAATTAATCAAACGTGACGAAATTCACGAAATTTATTTATTAACGAGTGTTGATAAACATTAAATCGACATTTTTCCGTTACAAAAAAAAAAAAAAAAAAAAAAAAAGTTTACATAGGATTTTATCATTATTTACTTAAAAATTACATAATAATAATAATAATAATAATAATAATAATAATAATAATAATAATAAACCGAGATTAAAGAGACCCTATCTTAGCCCAAGTTATCTTATTATTAAGTATTGATCAAATTTCTATACTTTAAATCTATCGATTTTTTTTTAAGGGTTAATTTTCTGATTTTTGATCGTTTTAGGCCTCAATCTGAATCAAGTCAGGAGGAATCGGTAACCCATAATAATAATAATAATAATAATTGATTTTAGCGAAGGGAATTATTAAAAGGAACAAAAGACTCCATTTAATAATTGTTACATCTCCTGGAGTAAAAGTTGAGCTAAATATCTTGTCATACTAATGAAGGAATAGAATTAATTCAATAAAAAAATACTTGGAACTAATTTATTTATTAATATTTTGTGGATATAAAATCTCCATACACCCCCCATCCAAATCTCCGTACCTGATTTTAAGTGTACTCAGTACACATCCATTTTTTTATGTTTGTCTGACGCATAAAAAAAAACAAATTTTGCGATATTTTGCATTTTATTTTACTTTATACCTCCTTGGATCTTATGTTTTACGGATACATGAGAGGAAATTTTTCGATGTTTTTATTGAAAAATGACCTTGTAGGCGAAAATCCAATCTCTGGGGGATACATGTTGAAAGGGGGCTAAAAGCCCCCAAATCGGGGCTTTCGGAAAAAGCTCTGACAAATAAGAGCCTTGTCGCGTTTAAGAGTGACCATAATACTAATAATAATAATAATAATAATAATACTAATAATAATTTTGAATCGATACGATTTTATTTATATCAAATTTTTTCGTTAGAAATTATTTATTTTAATCAAATTTGTTTAAAATGAAAAAATAAAAATGGCGGACATTTTACATTTAAAAAATTCTATTTCTCATCGTAAATTACTTTTTAAATAAAATAACGAATTAAATATATTTATATATATATATAAAACAAGAATATTTTTAATTTCAATTTAAAATTTTAAAACTAAAAAAAAAACCGTTAAAAAATAAAATCGATAAATTTTAAATAACTTTCGAATTTATTATATATATGGGTTTATGTTTACGTTTGTTTTTAAAAGTGTTACCAACTTAATTTTAAATGGCGCGTTTTTAGTTTCAGGTTCAGGTTGAGTTGGCAATGCAGGTTTGACCTCCCGAAAGTTGTACAAACATAATTAGTTTACGTTTGTTTGTCATCGGGCAAGGATGTAAATTTTTTTTTTTCGTTTATTTTTTTCCATCATCGTTTTTTTTTTTTTTTTTTATTTGTGTTTTGAATCGTCATCATCATCCCCCTTTGACTACCATATTGGATTTTTTTTTTTTTAAATTTCGCGCGCGAAATTTTGTTTATTCGAATTTGAATTTTTTATTATTAAAAAAAATTTTTTTTTTTTTTTTTTTTTTACTCATTAACTGGATATTATTATGTATATCACGTGGGATTTAGTACAGTTATCAAGTTTTATTAACGTTTAAATATACGTGGTTTACTTTATCATTATTATCATCATCATCATCATCATCATCATTATTATTTTGATACTGGAAAATCCTGGAAAATTTATTTCAAAAAAAAAAAAGGTAAGAAAATTTTTATTATTATTATTTATTTGCATGATTTTTTTTTTTTTTTTTTAAATTTAATAACGCATTTGCTGCGAATAATTTTAATTTTGCTATAAAAATTTAAATTTGAGTTTCCCGCCAAAAAAAAAATTCCCTGCACTTTTTTTTTTATTTTTCCCTCTTTAACGAGCGCAAAAAAAATTTGAAAATTTTTCAACGTATTTAAATTGTGAAATTAAAGAAATTTCTACGCGTAACGATAATAATAATGATAATAATAATGATAATTACGATGATTATTTTCTTTTTCGTATGTAAAAATCAATAGAAAAAAATTTGCCAATAATCAATCGATCGATCGATCGATGAATTATTGACCCGAATAAAAATTTCAAAAAAAAAAAAAAAAAAATCATCGTTACGCCGCGTATTTAAAACAAAAAAAAAATCATTATTATTATTATTATTTTATTATTTATTACCGTAAAATTATCATCATCATCATCATCATCATTATTAATTAATTTCGTTGCTCATCTCTTAGTAAGGTTCAGTCAGTGTCACATCACATAGAAATTTCAGGTTCGAATAATTAACTGTTTCCGAGGAGGCTTTAATTATTAATTTTCCTTGCTTTACACGCAACAATAATAATAATAATAATAATAATAATTTTATGTATTATGGAATTTTTTTTTTTTCTGGAGAAATTCCAGTTTTGTTATTACTTAATTATATTATTATTATTATTATTTACCACATTTCGAAGAAGACAAAACGAAAAAAAAAAAAAAAACGACACGTGGTAGTAGTAGTAGTGGTAGTCGTCTTCATTTAAATAATAATGATGATGATGTTGATATTTAAACTTCCGAAAAAAATTCTCCAGAATATTGCACGCGCACACGCACACGTCGGTGTAACGAACTCGTTATCGGTTCCTACTACTACTAATACTACATTTTCCCTTCTCGCCCCCCCCCCCCTCGAGCAATGTCCAGGTTTACTTTTTTTTTTTTTTTTGTATCCATGTTTCGAACGACGCATTAATATTAACATTATTATTATTATTATTATCATTATTATCATCGCGACCACTTTTTTTTTTTTTTTAATTGATAAATTTGTCGATTCCATAATTCTTACTTACGTCTAACGGTTCTTTTTTTTAAATGGGTGTCTGTGTGTAGATAATAGTTTACTTAACACGCCCCTGAAATTCTTATTAACATTTAAAACTACGACGAATCGCATAAAATAGTTTATTATTATTATTATTATTATTATTATTATTATTATTATTACCATCGTGAATATATAGTTTTTAAATAATAATAATAATAATAATAATAATAATAATAATAATAATAATAATAATAATAATAATAATAATGAAAAGGTCAATAAATGTTTTTTTTTTTTTTCATCGTGTATTTAGAAAAAAAATATGAAATAATAATAATAATAATAATAAATTTTACGACGAAATAAATAATAATAATAATCATCATCATTACTATCATTATTATTATTAAAAAATGGTGTTTGTGTTTTTCTAGAAAATTAAAATATTAATTACGTAAATTTTTTTTTTTTTTTGTTACGTTGGTAAAATTGCACACGTTCGGAGACATTCTATATTATTATTATTATCATTATTATTATCGTAACGTGCGTGTTTTTATTAAAAAAAATTATTATTATTATTATTATTATTTTTAAATTTTTTTTTCGCAAGAGGTTAATGCGTGAGTAGTAAAGAGAGAGAGAGAGTGTGTGCGTGTGCGCGTATGAATAAGTAAAAAAATTACGTCACTGATAAGTATAATGAATTGATGATGATAATAATAATAATATTTAAAATACGACGCGGCGTCCATTTTGTTTTTACCGAGAATGTCAAATCGATTCGGAATTGTTATTTTCACGGGAGGGGAGGGGAGGGAGGAAGGGGAAACTATGATTTTCCA